TTTTACAATGTTATAAACCAATGTTACTGCAATAAACAAAAAATTAAAAAAAATAAAGTAAAATAAAATAAAAAAAAATAAAAAAAAGACATTACTTTTTTAAAGGAATACTTGTTATATTCATGTTCTCATAGAATTGTCATAGAATCAGTTCCTGGAATGCTATAATATTCTTAAAATAATAGAGAAAAAATTAAGGAAACATATCGAACTATATACAAACCAAATTTTCTAGGACATTTGTTTCATCTTCCCAGTTTACATTTGAGGACTGTGACAGTGTAGGAAGGGAGACGCAGGTAAAGCTCAAACAGGTAGATGGTGTTTAATATTCATTTATTTCCATAAAAAGATTGGTGGGAGAGGAAGGTGAACGTATAAAAAGGATGAAGTGGATGTTGCTTCTAATAAACATGATTTCTCCAAGCTTTCTCAGTGCCATCTTAATCCAACTCACCAAGGTTAGTTGTCAATTCTTTCAGTATTTTTCTTGAAATATTTTCGCTTGAGATGGTACCATATTGAGGAGTTTGGGGTCTCTGAATCAGGTAGGATGGTCTCTGTGTTGATGTAAAGATTTATTTCTCACCCCTTCTTTTTCTTTTTTAAGCTGCACTATAATGTGACTACAAGCAGATTAGTGAATCCAGATCAACTCTTGAATGAGATAATGTCTGTTCTTCCAAAGAAGCATGTTGACTTCGTACAAAAGGGGTAAGCAGCACACTTACCAGGCTGTTGCAGTTATTACGTGATACCTTTTGAGCTTTGAGAGAACATGGGTTGATTCCCCTCTCCCCTTTTTAAAAAAGATATTTCTTCCACCTCATTCCAAAAGCTTTTATAGTAGTCTCATTGTCCATAATTTATTCTCTTCTATTTTATACGAACTGTAGAAGTTTTTTGAAGTGCCTGTGTTGTCACCACTTTCAGAGTTAGACTTTTCAAAACAGGAAAATCGGAACTTCTTCCAGTTTTTTTTACATCGTCTGTTTTCCTTTGATGTTCTGCTTTACAATAGTATTTATAAAATGTAATCTAGAGTTATGAGACACCTCTGACAAATCAAGGATTTCTATAGACTTCTTTTCTTTATGACTTGCTATTTTACAGAACTGGGTTTTCAGTACTTTAGGGACGTGTTCCCCACTGGGCAGTGAACTGCCATTGAAGCCTCTTTGGTTATGATCTCATGATCTGAAGAGCCAGACCTCTGCTGGTTACCTCAGATGTTCATGTTTGTAAGCATTTCCACTCAGTTAGGTCTTTTTAAAATTTCATTATTAAAGCAGCTAAGAAGAGCCATTAATAGATTTGCCAAAAACATTTAAATAGAATAGTCAATATAGAGTAAGATTTGAAGAAACAATCTTTTGCAAAAGTAATTTTACTTCTCACTGTCTGTAAATGTTGGCAAGCCTTCCTTATGTGAACCCTGGCTTTCTTCCTTAGACATTATTAGAACACATTGAACTCACTCCCACCTGTTCTTCCTAATCTAACGAACTTCCTGATCAACCAGAGGGTCTCTGCCTTGATCCTTTTTTTTTTTTTTTTTTTTGTTACCTTGTCTGTTTCTACCTTTTGGTGACAAAGCAGAATAATAAAAGCGAAGTTTTTCGGTGGTGTGATGTTACTAATCTTATATATATTATATTCCATTATTATCTTTCTCCTTACTTTTTATCTTCCATATGGTTAAATTGCTCCATACTTCATCTTCCCATCAGGAAACTTGACTACAGGATACTCCTTTTAGCATTTCTGATATACACTGCTTATTTTTAAGAGATCAAGCCCTAAAACACATAACTAAGTTAGTGAGAAAAAGAATGATATTTTGTGAAACCTCATGATACATAACAGATACAAGTAATTTCTCTACAATTCTGTGGAACAGAGCCTAATCATGTGTACCTAAATATTTAGGAACTGAAATTTAAAATCAGTTGTATTGTTTATTGTTGTGTTTATTGTTTATCAAAGATTTGTAAGACAAACTACAATATAATGTAAATTAAAAAGTGATTTACGTGAATTCAATTTATGCAACTTTTCAAGAACATACCTATTTCTTAAGATGTGTTCTTCGTTTAGACTGGGCCTTTCCATTATCAGAGTGGTTAACATGGCAGTTCTGATTATATATGCTATGTGTTTCAGCCATGGGAATGTACTATCTCCTTGGGCTTTCTTTTTAACTGTGCTATAAAGTGTTGTAACGATCATAACCTCTTATTACTATTAGAAAAACCTCAAAAACACGTGTCCATCTGACAGGTTGGTGGCTTCAGCTTTATTTATATGAAAGACAAAAGTTTCTAATGAGATGCACACAAAAAAAATATTCTTAATCTTCCCTGTGCTTTCCTCTGTTGTGAACATTGTGGAAATGGCCTGATGTTCACAGATTGCATTGTTGAAAGAATTGCATAAAGGATGCCAGAAGATTTCTTGAGCATAAATGGCATGTGTAGCTATGAAAGAAGGGCTTTTCTTTGGAGCAAGGGAGAATTCTGGTAAAATCTTTTCATCGTGATTCTTTCTTAAGATCCTAGTTCAGCTTCTGGGAAAACACCAGTCATACTCCATCACTAAAGCATAGCTAGGTCATTTGGAAACTGTAAGCAGTAATATACATACTGCTTAATATGAAATAATGGTTCATTTTCTCCACTGGCCTCCTAGAGGCTTAGAAATCTCTTGTTATTCAGAATATTCATGGTTCTCCTCCTAACTGGCTCCTTAACTTGTTTTTTACAGCTATACACTGAAGTGTCAAACACAGTCAGATTTTGGCAAAGTGACAATGCAGTTTGAACTAGAAGTGTGCCAACTTCAAAAACCCGACGTGGTGGGTATCAGGAGGCAGCGGCTCAAGGGTGATGCCTGGGTTTACAAGAGATTAGTGGAAGACATCCTGTCCAGCTGCAAGGTATAACTGATTGCTGGCTTCCATCCTGCGGTATGAGTATGGGTGTGATACAGCCTATGTGGAGACTGGGGTGATTGGTCCATTGGAACTACAAACTCATTTCTAAAGAGCTATCTTAAAGACCAATATCTTTTTGTTTTCAAACAAAAGATATCATTTTGTGGGTGAATCTAAGGCAAGCCCATCTGTCATTATCTGTTATCATCTTTTTTAATCATATGGCTTTGTATATTAATAACTGTTGCCTTTCCTAGATTCAGTTCCATATGTGAATGTACGCTCTTAACTATGTCTCCTTTTAATGTGTAATTTCTTTCTGAAATAAAACCATTTGTGAATATAGCAATCTTCTCCTCCTCTTTGTATTTGATTTTGATCCAAATAAAACCTCAAATGGCTTCCTAAGTATTAAGTAGAGACTATTTGGAGTATGTTTTATCTGTTATCAAATATGCCTTGGGCAGAAAAACAGATAAGAATTCATTTGCATAATTTTTTCCTGTCTCTGATTTAAGTAGGATTTATTGAGATCGTTAACTAAGTCACAGCTGTGGTTACCAGAGTTAAACAACACATTTAGTATGTTGAATAAAAGAGTATAGACTTCAGTAAGTATGTTCGGTCAACAATGATAAGTATCTGAACTATAAACGCCCATGAAATGTTATTTTATGGTAATTTTCCTTAAGTCTCAATGTTGGCCCCAGATTTGTATTTTCTGTTTCATTTTATTGATCTCTAAAGGCCAGCACTCAAGTTATATTTGTATGGATTTTACCAATTAAACTAGTTGGAGAAAAAAATAACACTATTTCTAGTCAGTAGTGAGGGAGTGTTTTGTCATTCATTTATTCAGTAAGCATTTACTAAGGGCTTACATCATTAGGTCCTGGGGCTCAAGATGATACTGTCTCATAAACTCAAGGAGTTCAGAGTCTATTAGCAGGGTCAAATGCCTAAACCAGTGTTTACAGCGTAGAGGGGATGATGAACTTTGTCTGGAGGAGTAAGGCATGATTTCTTGGAGGAAACAGTATTTGGTCTTGAAGGATATATAAGAGTTCAACAGCAAGAGAACAGGGAATATGAATTGTTGACAGTGAGAATAGTTTGTGCAAAGGCATGGGATTATACAATGGCATGCTATGCTTAGGTGGGGTCAGAAGGTGGTGCAAGGGGGAAACAGCAGATGAGGAGTGAGAGTTTAGCCGGATATAAGTGATGAGAGAACTGGAAGGAACTTGAATCCTCCACTAATCTGTTTTGGCGAAGGAGCTGTCAAAGAGTTTTACACTTTTTATAACAGCGTTTTTTTTGTTTGTGCTGTTGAGTGGATTCCAACTCTTAGAGACCCTGTGTACAGCAGAGCGGAACCCTGCCTGGTCTTTTTGCGCCATCCTCTCACCTTCCAGCACTTGACAGGCAATGCTCCACTGCTATTCATAGAGTTTTCATGGCCAATTTTTTTCAGAAGCGGGCGGCCAGGTCCTTCTTCCTGGTCTGTCTTAGTCTGGAAGCTCCACTGAAACCCATCTACCATGGGTGACTCTGCTGGTATTTGAAATCCTGGTGGCATGGCTTTCAGCATCACAGCAACACACAGCCACCACAGTACGACAACCGACAGACGAGTGGTGTGGTTTCCTGAACAGGAAACAAACCCAGGCTGCCATAGTGAGAAGAAAGAATCTTAACCACTGGACCACCAGGGCTACACACTACTTGGTAAGTGAAGGCATTTAAGAGGCAGAGAGAGAGGAGATTCACAGATAATATTTAAAGTTTGGAACTATATGAACAGAAATAGGCACAACAACAAAAGCCAGTTGAGTGGGAGGGGGCAGGAGATGAGATAAATGTAGAGTTCAGTGTGGACATATTGAGCACGAGGGACATGTAGGATATTCAGGAGACATTCAACAGGATACTGGAAATCCAAGTCTGAAGTTGAGGAGAGAGGAAGTTCTAATTCCAGCAATGATGGGCAAAGTGTTTAGGGTCAACTCTTCTGCTCAAAATAATTAGAAGAACTGGGAAAAAACTTTTAAACAATCTCTTTGAAGGCATCAGAGGACTACCAAACCAGTCAGTAATTGTGGGCCCCAGTTCTAGGAGAGGAGGGAAGCAAAGAAAAGTGAGCCTGACATTTGGAGCCATGTTTCCTCTCAAGGAGATTGTTAGTTCTGGAAGCAGAGGCTGAGAAGCTGAGTAGAGCTTCAGTGAACAAGGCTGGGGAGATCAAACAGTTGAGGGCCTACCAAGGAGGGGTCCTGATAAATGTACCAGGTTTTTTGTGGGGACCCTGTGGGCTACACACTAGGAATAAAGGGGAAAGTAGACTAAAGCCCAGCTTTGAGTCATATAAATCCTTGGTTGAATTAAAGTGATCCAGGCTTTCTGGGGCCCTTAGCCTAGAGCTGCCCACCAAAAGCAAAAGTAAATTCTCCGATAGAAAAATTTCATCCAAAAATAACTACATGTGTAAAGACGAAACATGCTCAGAGACATTTTCAGGGACAGACATACAACAGAAATCCCAGGGATTCAGATAATGGAGTTATCAGACCTAGACATTAAAATAGCTATGATTAATGAGTTCAAGGAATTAAAAGAAAATATTGGGAATTTCAGCAGTTTGAAGATCTGAGAACTCAAATTTAGAGTATCTGATATTAAGAATTCAATGGATAAGTTTAATAGTGGGTTAGACATAGCTGAAAAGAGAATTAGTGAACCAGAGGATAAAGCAGAAAAATATTGAGGCTGAAACACAGAATCAAAAGGATGAAAAACACAGAAAAGAGCATAGAAAAACATGAAATATGAGGAATAAGTTTTGTAAAGATGTAATTTTAGCCAGAAGGAGAGAAGAGAGAGAATGGAGCAAGGTTAGAAGAGAAAATGGCTAAGAATTTCCCATAATTGAAAGAAATCAAGGTACAGATTCAAGAACACCATGAACTCCAAGGAAGATAAAAATACCTTCCCTAAAAGAATTTTTAAAAATCTACATACATCTTGTGCATTTTAAATTGACATCTAAATTTTTTCATAACAACAATTAGTTGCAAGGGATGTACTTTCTAATATACTGTAAATATAGATTCTTTCAAATAAAGTTGTTCTGTTGCTCTTTTAAATGTATCCGATGGCATCTAGATACCATAGTGATTTGATTCTCACCATTATCCATTAAAAAAATACATGACAAAGCTTTTCATTAAGAAATTTCAGATTCTTGCTTTTGCTCCCTGAACACGTACTACCATTCCAGCACTTGTTTCTAAGTTCTATCGTGTTAGAATTTTTTTGTGATTCAAAGACTTTCATTCATCAACTTAACAGACTTCTTTGTAACAAAAATATGTACTATAAATATAATGGACTTTTTAAAAATATCCCATGACCATAAGGCTCTGAATGTTAAAATTTTGTTTTGGACTGACATCATTATCATTATTAGCAGGATGCATTTATAAAAGCAACAAAATATACCAGAAAATTTTATAAATATTAAATATAAAAAGTAAAATTTTAGAGGCCAGCCCGGTGGCGCAAGCAGTTAAGTGCACACGCTCCGCTGCGGTGGCCTGGGGTTTGCCGGTTCGGATCCCAGGCGCGCACCGATGCACTGCTTGGCAACCCATGCTGTGGTGGCGTCCCATATAAAGTAGAGGAAGATGGGCACGGATGTTAGCCCAGGGCCAGTCTTCTTCAGCAAAAAAAAAGAGGAGGATTGGTGGATGTTAGCACAGGGCTGATCTCCTCACAAAAATAAATAAATAAATAAATAAAATTTTATTGGAAATTCCTGTCTTAAAGAGATAGATGGGCTTGTATCATCTATTGCTGTGTAATAAATTATTGTAGAACATAGCACCTTAAAATAACAAACATTGGGGCTAGCCTGGTGGCATAGTGGTTGAGGTGGTGCACTCCGTTTCAGCGGCCTGGGGTTCACAGGTTCGGATCCCAGGCGAGGACCTACACACTGCTGATCCAGCCATGCTGTGGTGGTGTCCCATATGCAAAAGTAAAGGAGGATTGGCACAGATGTTAACTCAGGGACAATCTTCCTCAAGCAAAAAGAGGAAGATTCGGGGGCCGGCCTGGTGGTGCAAGCGGTTAAGTGCGTGTGCTCTGCTGTGGTGGTCTGGGGTTTGCTGGTTTGGATCCTGGGCGTGCACTGATGCACCGCTTGGCAAGCCATGCTGTGGCAGCGTCTCATATAAAGTGGAGGAAGATGGGCGTGGAGGTTAGCCCAGGGCCAGTCTTCCTCAAGAAAAAAAAAAAAAAGAGGATTGGCAGATGTTAGCATAGGGCTGATCTTCCTCACAAAAAAAAAAAAAGAGGAAGATTGGCAACAGATGTTAGCTCAGGGACAATCTTCCTCACCTCAAATAAATTCCTCCTCAAAATAAAATAAAAATAACAAATATTTATTATTTCACACAGTTTCTGAGGGTCGGCAATCTGGGAGGGCTTCACTGGGTGGTTCTGACCCAGGAGCTCTCATGAGGCTGCAGTCAAGCTACTGGCAGGGGCTGCAGCCACTGAAAGCTTGACAGGGGCAGCGTGACCCACTTTCAAGGTCACTCACATGGCTGCTGACAGGAGACCTCAGCTCCTTGCCACATGGGACTCTCCAAAAGGTTACTCAAGACACAGAAGTCGTCATCCTCCAGAGTGAGTAATCCAAGAAAGAAAGAATGACCATGACACAGGCATGGTATCTTTTTAACAATGTTATTGAGATGCAATTCACATACTATACAATTCACCCATTTAAAGTGTACAGTTCAATGGCTTTTAGTATAGTCACAGAGTTGTGCATCCATCTCCACTATCAGTTTTAGAACATTTTCATCTTTACCCCCAAAAGAAACTTTGCACATTTAATCACCATTCCTCGGTCCTTTCAACTCCTCCAGCTCCAGGCAACCACTAATTTTCTACTTTCTCTATAGATTTGCCTATTATGGACATTTCCTAAAAATGGAATTATATAGTATGTGGTCCTTTGGGACTGGCTTCTTTCACTTAGCATATTTTCAAGGTTCATCCATATTATAGCATGTGTCAGTACTTTATTGCTTTTTGTGTCTGAATAATATTCCATTGTATGGATATACTACTTTTATGTATCTAATCAGTTGATAGACATTTGGGTTGTTTCCACTTTTTGACAATTATGTATAATACTGCCGTGAACATTCATGTACAAGTTTTTGTGGGCACATATCATTTCATTTCTTGAGTATACATACCTAGGAATGAAATTAATGGGTATATATTCCCAGTATATGTATTACTGGGTCATATGGTAACTCCATGTTTAATCA